CGCGTTCCGAACGTTGTTTAAGTGACATATACCGGTATTGCGGTATTTTCAAAATTCATATCATAACAAAAATAAAAAACGGTATTCGGTGTGAACCGGTATACCGCCCAGCACTAAACCACCTATATTTGTGCAAATGAGGACTTGAAGGATTCTCCTCAATAAAACATTTCCTAAAGGTGATTTATTGAGTCTTACCTCATCGACTGTCTTATAGCATGGAGGATTTGAGTTCGGGTCAAACTCCATCTCAGAGGGAATAGACTAGACATAACAGAAACACAGATATGAAACAATTACAAGTGTCAATGACTAATATTTACACAGTTTGATATATAAACAACCTACATGACGAGAAATGAAACAAGACATGGGGCCAATTTCTGTAAAGAGTCCAACCTGGGAAAAGAAAGAGAGAAAAACATTGTACTGAAGTCTGAAAAATCAGTCGCAGAGACAGTGAGTTTTATCAAAACCATTTAAAAGAGCATTGTGCAAGTACGTTCTTTATACAAGGGCTCTCTCCATGAACTAAGAATGACAATAAAAGCACTAACAGAAGATAAAATGGACCCGTACTTTGTTAACCTGGGTGACGACTGCATCCACAACTTCTCCCTTGAAGGGACGGAACACGATGGCCTTGTATTTGACGGGATACAGCACAAAACCTCTGCCCGGCTGGATAACACCTGCTCCAATATTATCGATTGTGGTTACTGCAATAACAAAGCCATACCTGTGACACAAAAGAGAGACATTTGAGATTCATATTTCATAATATTCACTGAAAAAAGTCAGATGTCTTGCTTTCTGTTGGACTTACTTCCCCGTACATGTTCCCTCCACCTCAGTGAACAGCTTCTGTTTGACTGTGTTCAAAAGGTTCGGTCCAAAGTATCGTGGATGCAGGAGAATCTCATGCTCCAAAGAGATCTATTGGGATGGTTATTGAGAAAACAACAATAAATTCATAACAACAAGTCACATGAAAGTAAATGCAATTAATGCACGTATCTAGAATACTCTGCATTAACAATTACATTGACTGATTCGTTTTTTGTTTTTTTAATCCACATAATATCCATCAATTTTCAAAATGACTAGATTTAAGTAGCTAGCTTTATTACATCCTACATTTTCTAAACCTAGTGAGTGTGCAGGTAACTTAACGTTAGCCGAGACAAAACAGCATCAATGCATACACAAGAAAAGAACATATGGAACACTTAATGCTAATGTACATTTTACAAGTAAAATCGAAACAATTACGAACTTACGTGATAAAACATCTCTTAAAAGTTTTTTATCTTAAAGATATCTCGATTTTAATTTTAAAAAGCGGCGAGTGTTGATTTCTGCGTGCTCACGCGCCGCCACTCAAAAGCGCGAATTCAGCTACAATAGTGTTTCCGGGGGAGTTTTCAAATTAAAAGTCATACAAGTTCCTAGAAGACTCGATTCAAACAAACATTTCTTGAGACATTTATTTTATAAAACTACTATTTATTTTAGTTTTTTTGTCAAATATTTATTTAAGGTATTCAAAAAAACGGAATTACGTGATTTTGTAATTTTCTAGCAATAAACATGAGTAAAAATAGGTTTATTTAAACGCCCTTCTGTCATGCTGTGTTTAGGGCCATAAGGATGTTACTTCTTGCTTTATTTCCGTCCGTCATTCCATACATTTTATTTAATGCTACATTTCATCATTTTATACATTTTTATTAAAAGGTTGCCTGCAACCCATGGGGCACAACTGAATATTATGGTTTTGTTCATTAAAATCAGTATATTTCTTTACTAAATATTTTAAAATCAGTTCAACAAATGATGTAAAAAAAAATATGACACTTTTGTAAAGTAGCTTACATTAATTGTAAGATACAGTGAAAAAGGTTGAGACCTCTGAGGTGTAAAAAGCCAAAAAAACACATTTTTTGAGGAGATTATGTATTTAAATACTGTTCTGCTAGGTTAATTGTATGTATCCTTAATTTTTTTAACATATTAGTTACTGTCTCACAGCAAAACCTTTTTTTTTTTCACGATAGTACCCCCCAAAAAAAGATAACTGGAATATACATATTACAAAACATGGTAGTGACGTTTGCTGTAAAAAAAAACCCAAATAATTAAACACAGTGATAATCATTCTAATATCATCTTAACATATGCTAACTGAATTCCATAAGCAAACAGTAATTTTGTTGTTCCCAATTAGTTACGATTTTCACTCAATCAAAAGTTTGTCTTAAAATCAAACTTTATCTCAAGGCTCGTTTTGAACGCTTACACACACAATGCAAGGCAGAACATGACCACAAGAGGTCACTGCGATTCCAAAGCTACGCAATGTACGACCATTGTAGAAACTTTGAAGTTGTTCTAACGGGACAAGCAGTTTAGTGTCTGGTTTTATATGAATACTTGCTATGAAGACACAGAGCGCCATTTCAGTGCTGTTGAACCCCAAGATGTAGAGCTTGAGTTAATTGTCTTCCAAAGTGAAACTAGTGCGAAAATTGTGCCAAGCAACACATTTTTGGCTTTTCATGCTCTTCATTTTGCCATGTCCTTATTAAATTAAGAAGTACTAATGTTTGGCTTCGTTGTAGTATGCTAAGAACAAAACTAAGACATTAATAAACTAAATAAAGTATTATAATAGATAACTGTAATTATTACCATGCATCAAGATCATTGTAACAATACCTTCCATAATAAGCCAGCAATGAAACATGTGATGTGTGAAAGAGGTCCCTTGCCCTAAATGTTATGTGACAAATAAAGCTTATATGTGCAAAAGGTTTCTGAAAGGTATCTTTGCAGTTTTGTTGCTGTTTAGCTTTAATAGCAAGTTTTAAAAGCTTCTTTTCACAAGCAAATAAAAGCAAATGCAGTGGAGTGCTATAGATCAGACTGTCTCACCATTGTTGCCGAGGCAGGTCAGATAGCCGAGGACTGAAGCCATGCATGTTGATGAGCATGGGCAGATGTCCACAGATATCTGAGCATGCTGGATGGGGTTTGCATCCTGCACGCTCCAAATCCAAGACGGTCCTTGGGGACTTCTTCATTTTGTCCACGCCACATTCTTGCAGAGAGCTGGCACTCATCGCAGTAGCCTTGATATTATAAAAGGGTTGCAGATGTCATTACAGTCACAAGTTCATGGCCTTCGTGTTGTGGAGTCGTTGCCTTCATTTAATCAAAGCCTTCATATTCCCTCTTTCTATTTCTAGGGAAATTTTGCCATTCCTATAAATCAACCCATATAGCAATTCATCAGTTTCAAATTGGTGCTTTGAAGTGCAAGTCTTAATGCACAGAAAATATTTTACAGATATTAAGTCATTTTGGACAAGCTCTGTGAAGGCATACTTAAATATCACATATTAGTGGTATATAAAAGCACAAATCCATGCTGAAAATCTAAATTATAAAGAGGTCTGCATGAGAAGGAATATTGCACCTGTTCTCCAGTGAAGCTGTACTGACTGAGAATCTATTATCATTCGATTGCAAAGAAAAATAACAACTGTGCTGTGAAATGTAGCATTAGAAATGCAATTTTCTCTAGGTTGCTTAAAGTAACAGCAAAATGCTGCAGTGCTAGCATCCTCTCTTTTGTCATTTAAGGTATTTTTGGCTATTAAATGTAGTTTGGCATATTATATTTATGTTTATCGCTGAGAATAACACTGACGTTGTATTTAATCACTTTTTGCAAAAGAGAAGCTAATTTTGCATTTAAAAGAACCACAGCTACATATGCACAAATAATAAATGAATAAAATACATGATTTTATAAAATATATTATTATATGCAACACCGAAGTGAATTCTGCTTTCAAAGGAAACTAAATAAATAAATTCATGAAATATATAAATATATAATTATAATATTATTACCTTTATAAATACATCAACAAATCAGTGTAAATGTATAGTAATTTCTGAGCCAAATGCATATGCATAAATAATAAATGAATAAAATGCATTCTTTTAAGATATTATTGTAATTAATTGAATCACTTTCTGCAACACAGAAGTACATTTAGATTTTAAAGGAAACAAAATAAATACATAAATAAAATATGTTATTTTATGAAATATATCATTGTAATTTTTTCTTTTATAAACACATCAACAAAGTATTGTAAATGTATAAAAAATATTCTGCTTTCAAAATAAACAAATACATAATGCATAAATAAATATATAAAATATAAATTGCTTTAAAAAAATTACAGTATAATTAAATATTTTAATCACTTTATGCAACACAGAAGTAAGTTCTGCTTTCAAAGGAAACAAGTACATAATGCAAAACTCTAATATACCTTTTTTCTTTTGCTTTTTTTCTTAATTTTCTGTGACTGATTTATACAAAGGAAATATTATACACTGTGGAAAAAAGTGGTGACCTGCAACTGATACCTTCATTTCGACTTGATTTAACCCATAAAATGTAGTTTTGTTGGTATAATGTATTTAGGTTGATTTAGTGATATTAAATAATATTTTAGACTTGAATAAAACTTAGATGTTATCATTTTTAGGTGTCATTTTTTTAACAACTAGGTGAAAGAAACTAAACATTTCTAAGCAAACCTACCACACTTTTTTTAAATAATATTTCTTTTGTGGCGCTTTTGTTTTTTGAGAGCAAAGCTGTAGTTTCTCCAGTGTTGATCTGAGTGCTCTCAGAGCTGAAGGAAAGAAAGCCCTGTTCCTGAGCTTCAGCGCACTACTTTCCTTCCCCCTCTCCCCCTGCTCTCGCCAAAGGTAGCTTTCAGATGCAAAATAAGCAGACATATGGAGAGGAGGTCTTTCTCCAGCCCTCCTAAAGATTCAGATTGTATGACAAATCACGTCCACCACCACCCTCCCAACCCCACTCAGAATCTCCAGACAACAGCTTCATTAGAGTGAAAGAAGGAGTTTTTGCAGCTTTGTCGAGTCAAGCTCATACTTCTTTCCCTTCTCAATTACTCCATTGTTGGCGAGAGATTCAAGTTATTGCACTCAAAACCATATGGCTGATTTGAACACCTACAAGTGATGCCATCAACTCAACCTATGTTTCTGGGGGGCATTACATGTAGAAACAGAAATCAGAAAATCGTCAAAAAATGGATATTGTTGCAAAAAAAAGAAAGACAGTCGGTCTGCTAAGCGAGAAGTCTAATGCATGGAACAGTCTGGTGAGGTCAGGTGTATGAACTTATCATTAGTCAGGGAATGGCTGTATACTTCCTCCCTTTTACGGTGATGTAGCTTGTGCAAAGCTTCTTCTCATTTTACCAAAGAGTTGCCCTGGTTACTTTCAAATATAAAGTCTTTAGAGACACAGCTCTCATTGTTAGCGCTGATGCAGGGTAAACTAGAGGTAAATTATGCACTTGCACAAACACACCAAGACAAGTGAATGCCCCACCGTAGGGTTTGTATTTAGACTTGGACATCTGATTGATAGTACTAGGTTCACGAACTGGTACATTATGTGTCTGACTCACAAAGAGAGACGAAAATTTACATTCACATCGCTTGTAATGAGATTCCATTGCATTTTGATAATAGCACCTGTTCTGAAATCTTGTAAATAGATACAAAAAATATATATATGTTTCAGGTGTATTTGGCAAACAAATAGGTTCATTTACATATATATTTTAAATATAGGAATGTAATGTTTCTGAAATGCAGCTTTTAGTTATCATAAATGCATTTCAGACAAAGGACACATGCCACTCTAAACATCTAAATCATAATAAAAACATTACATGTAAATGATATTGTTGTTGTTGTTGTTGTTATTTTCAGTTAAATAAAAACACAAAACTTCCTTTCGTAAATTAATAATATAATATAATACCTAATATTGTTTAATAAATGTTTTATGTGTTTTAAATGTAATAAAATACAAATATTCATTATGTAAATGAATAATATCATATAATACAATGTCATGTCATGTTGTTTTTGATGTTTAAAAATATTTTATGTATTTTAAATTAATAAAATGCAAAAAATAATTTTGTAAAGTAATTAATATTATAAATTACTGCATATTAACTTAGACATTCTTGACAAAATATGGCAAATTTTTGCTTTTTGCAATTTTTTTGCTTGTAAATACAGCACAAAATGCAGTAGCTAACAGCCCAGTTATTGAAAAAAAAAAAAGAATTTGGATGAATGAATGTTTACATAACTTAACAAATGTAAAAGAAAGAAAGAAAGAAAGAACGAAAGAGTTGACATTTCCCAACATTGGAAAAATAAATGATATTTATTTGCACAAAACGTACTGCAGTTAATGACAAAATAACTAAATAAATAAATAAATAAGTGGAGATTTGATGCACGTTCCAAGACTATTAGAACAGGGAGTGTCTTTAAACATTGTAACCCTAGAATTTATTTTCAGTCTCTTAAGACCTTCTCGAGGCCGTGGGGGTGATTTTCTTATTTGGGGTGTGGTATCCCCGTACAATTGAAGCACTGGAGTAAGGAATTAATTATCATTCAAAAGTAATGGCCCTATTCTGCCCTGCTTGAATTCTGAAGAAGGAGAAAGGATCCTCTGGCCCCGATCCTGCCGCAGCGCCAGGGGAAAGGATTATTCCGGGGATTACCATGTGAAAATGCATCTAGTCCACTTGTGCTTCACTTCATGCCAGCGAAAGCACAAACGTGCCTCAGAAGCGGGGTGTTTTGTTCACGCTGGGACTATTTGAATAAGAATAATGCTATTGGAGAGTCGCAGGCCGAGAAAAATGAGTGAATAACAAATGTGAATAAAAATAAATATTTAAATATCGTCTACTGTTTATAGTCAAAGCAGGTTCCGATGAGTCTCAGAAGTTTTAGGAGTCCATGTGAGTTTATGCATCCAAAATTATGCATCTAGTCCACTTGTGCTTCACTTCATGCCAGCGAAAGCACAAACGTGCCTCAGAAGCGGGGTGTTTTGTTCACGCTGGGACTATTTGAATAAGAATAATGCTATTGGAGTGTCGCAGGCCGAGAAAAATGAGTGACAAAAGCTCAGAGGCGCAGAATTTGGACGGGGGACAAGCCGTATAGAGCTGAAAAGAAGAGAGAGGAGAGGCGCACAATGGAACAATTCGCCTTATACTCGCTTTGATATATCATACATGCCTGAAGACTCTAAACATTGTGTAATTATTTATAAATGACTGTGCCCCTATCGCCATAATACCGCACGGAGAAAGGCGCCGCAGGTCTCTCCCCAAATTATTTCTAAATAGTGCCCCTTCATTTTTTTTTTCCCCAAAGAGGGGCGAGTTGCTTGCAATTTAATAAATTGAATAATTAATGAACAATTGTATGGCTGTCTCATAAAGATGTCTTTAAATAAAAATTAAGGCACTGGGCACAGTGGAGCAGTTTGATTGAACTGCATCTTTCACCTTGTGAGTTATAACTCAAGATGCGCGCTGCATGCAGGGTGAATAAAGTGAAATATACAGCAGAAAAACCTTATTTTAATGGGAACATATTGTAATTTAAAGAATAATATTGTATTATTAAAAAAAACACATAATTTTAATGTGAAATATGAAAAAGTAAAACATTGTGCATTAAAGTAATGCCTACTTTTATGATAAAATAGGGTTTATGGTTTTTGTTTTTGTAGTTAAATTAATGAACAGATATATTTCATTTTCCAGAACGCTTTGCCCAAACCAGCTTAAATTCAGTTTACATTTCTGTTCTTAATACATTGTTTATTATGTACATATTTTGTGTTTGCATGCATGTTGTATTGTTTAGTATAAAATAGTTTAGTGTTTTATTTGTGTGGGTAAAACTGTGCTCTGTGCAGAGAGGCAAATTCTGATCAACTTTATCATATGTTGACATTTCTTATATTCTGTACAAGATTTTAATAGGTTGGTATATTAATATATAATGACATAAACGGTTAGGTAACATAGGCTACGTTGAGTAAAGTAGCCTACACTTAAAAACAATAGCGTTTTGCAAACTACAAAAAAGTTTGTATGTCGAAGTATCAAAATATAAGCTACAAATAATTGATAGCACGTTGGACCTTGTATTAATTGTGTGGAATAAAAAAATGTGTTTTTAAAAAGTCACATTCATAATCTTGCATCAAACCGAAACAATTGTGTATATCTTTATTATAAAATAACACAAATGATTTGCTTAGCGCACAAAATACAATAGATAAATGTGAAGAAAAAAAAACTTGTCTTCTAGCCTTGGGCCACTCCGTGTTGTCTCTTCTTTTCAATTTCCTCTAGAGATTTAAGTTAAAGTGGGCTTGGTGCATGCTGGACAGATAGCAACAGCTCTGCTCGCGTGGCTGGCCAGCTCTCCGGCTCCCTGATTGGCCAGCGGTGATTGCAGGCACGCTTCAGAGGGCGAACAAACAACAGGCATAAATTATGCTAATGAGATGGTCGTGCGGCACGGGGCAGACCTGATGCAAACCATTCATTCATCCTTCACAAAAATGCCAAAGCGAGGGGGGTACGTCCATTGTCTCCCCAGGGTATATAAGGTAGGTGAGGCCAGTCGTGTGCCAAGCTCACAAGCTCGCACGAGCTGATTGAGGGGTAAGAGCAAGACAGACGCGTGCCTTAAACTTCAACACAAACTATCTGCAGGACTCTGCAAGACCTCAAACACCCAGTTTCATCTCCCAGACCACATAAGGTGTGTATTGGCAGGACCAAGCACCCTCAGTGCTGCGCGCAGAGAACTTGGAATGGCTTTCTGAGCTTGTTTTTGGCGTATTCCTAACTTGAATCTTGCTATTTCTCCAGGTTACCAACAATGGAGACTGTCTACTCCGACATGGACACCTCAAGCTGCGACTACTCCTTTACGCACACGGATGATGAGGACTCACGCAGCAGCCTCCACTCCGCGTCCCCCGCGTCCTCCTGCGGCAAGCCGCCTGCGTCTCCAGTCGAGCTCCAGCAGAAAAAGAGGCGTAGTGGGCGCGCCAGGAACGAAGCCACCGTGCATGTCGTGAAGAAGAACCGCCGGGTGAAGGCCAACGACCGCGAGAGGAACAGAATGCACAACCTCAACGACGCCTTGGATGCTTTGAGAAGCGTGCTGCCTGCCTTTCCCGACGACACGAAGCTGACCAAAATCGAGACTCTGCGCTTCGCTCACAACTACATCTGGGCGCTTTCCGAGACCATCCGGATCGCAGACCAGCGGCAGAGCAAGCCCAGAGACCCTGCGCTGCTGCTCCCAGGACTAAGCTGCATGGGAGATGCGCCCAGCCCCGGCGGTAACTCTTGCTCCTGGCCATCCGGCGCATCCTCCTCGTCTTCATCCCCGTCTTACTGCAATTCAGACCCGGGCAGCCCCGCAGCCATGGACGATTTTGGATACTTGCAGACCGATGTAGTTTACAGCTACCACAACTTCGTGCCTAGCATCTATTAATGTGACTCGAGCGTTCTCATGTCTGTATAGAGTCTGCTGAAGCGTGTAGTGTAAAATCAGAGGACTTTGCTCTTACTTTTCTAATAGAACCAAGAGCACAACATTAGCTATTCACTGTTTGCCTTAACGACAGTTCACAGATGAGAATGTTCTTATTTTTGTACGTTTTGTTACCGATATTGATGCCTTTTCCGATATCTTTGCACTTTTGCGCATTCTTTGGAGCATGACCTTAAACGCCTGTTAGAGAAAATTATAATTTAAAGCAAGACTGATTGGCCTTTGCAGTCCAAGGTGAAAAGTCAATATTACAATTTGTAGAGCGATAAAGCAGAAAAACGAGCGTGAAAATTCAGTTTCAACGCTGTGACAATAGACTGAATGAATGGACAAGACAAAGATCTGGCCTTATGCGTTATGTATTTTGACCCGAAGAAACCTCTCCTGTCTGGCTGATCCGTATACAGTTACGACTGCTTTCCCACCACTTTCTTTTTGTTTTATTTATTCAACCTGTTGCTTTCATGCTATTGTATTTTTATTGTATATAAAGAGATTTATTCTATTATGTATTTACCTCAAAATATAAATCTGGTGCAAGCGTGTTTGTACGAATAAATATAACGTTTTCTACAAAAAAAAAAATCTGTGCTTGCTTCTTTGCTTCGTAATGTGACTCTGAGATGCATAAACAACTCATAGCAATGTCTGACAACATAATGGGCATCATTGTAATGAGCGCAGCCGTTGAAGCGTCACTCTGGGTCACAGCGCATAAAATAACGGTTATGCAGCAGGTGCATGGATATAGATCGGAGATACAGAGTCGACGCGTCATCTAATCTGTCAAGCAAAACTGCTTATGCATATTTTACACACGATTGCGCTTGATTACATCAAACCCTCGGGGTGAGTTTTAGTCATCTCAAAAATAAAAACATCAACTAGCCCTAATGTGCACAGTGTAAATCTTTATTGTTACAAGTGTACTGTTTTAAAGTTCCTATCTGCAGCCTTTATGAAAGTATATAATGAAAACGTATACGATACCAACCTATTTGAGGTCTGTTTGTTACTTTGAATGTATGAATAACAACACAGGTGGAAAATTGAAGGCCACGTGCTGACTTAAAGTTCACCAAAACTGGCCTCTCGAGCAACTGTGGCAAAAATAAAATAATAATGCAATAAATATGGCACTAAAACAACTCTATAAGCATCAATAAATAAATAAAATATTTAAAATGATTAAAAATAACCAATTAATACTTGGTGCTTAATACTTTAAGTAGATTTAAAAATATATATAAACGTACCTTAAAATTATAACTATTTCCTTGTTAAAGATTTTATCAGTCAATTAAAAGGTAATTCATAGCTTACACTGTAAAAAAATAAGTGTAATTTTAACTGTAACATTTTGTAAAAACACTATGGAAAAAAACTGTTAATAGGTTAACAGTAAGTTCCCGTACTATATACAGGGAAAAACTGTAAAATATCTAACCAGACATTTCATGTAATTTTACAGTAAAATGCTGTTAATTCAAAATTATTTTGTAAAAACTACAGAATTTTTTTTACAGTGTACTATTTAATTGTAAAATCCCGTTTTTATGATACTGTAGCCTATATTAGCCTAAATGACATTTGTTGTCTTATAAAATGCAGTTTGATAACAGTAAGTCAACAAGCATTTACTTTTGGCAGTTTTACATCATTTTCTAAACCGTTCAACGATAGAAATTCCTAAAACGCCGGTTTTTAATCTGCGAGTTCAGATAGTAATCAAAAGATGTACGAACATTCCTTACTCCATTACACTATTTTTTATATAAATAATAATACAAATTATTATAGAATTATACAAATTATAGAAATATATTCTGCTTATCTTTGGAACTCATGCAGACAAGCCTACATCCAATTTGGCTTCCTGAGAGTTTTTTTTTTTTTTTCCGTGAACGTTGTGTATGTGTGGATCAGTTGATTTCTGAAGGGGTTCAGGTTAAATCCTCTATTTGGGAGTTCCGCATGAGGTCCAGCCAAGGCTCTTGTATCTGCACGTGTCGGGGATAGAAAAGTATAATAGAGCGAGCTGAAAGCCTCAGGGAAGGGCGCATGCCAGCTGAAACGAGAAAACGGGGCACAGGCATGATGTTTATCACCCTCTCAAGAAGTTCATTTTACAGACCTTCACCGCACATCAAACATCCACGCGGAGTCGTGTGGCTCATTCACAAAAGTAATAATCTGCAATGGACTTCAAAGTAGCCTACAGCGCCTTTTCCTCCACAATTTATGTCTGCATTGACATTATGACTACATTTCTTTGTTCTCAATCACAGCGGCAGAAGCTTTAAACTGCTGCCCTCAGAAATGCACCTGCAGTCTCTTCTTTATTATCCACAACTACGCATATGAAGTGCATATTATCATATTAGCAAGTGCCAATATTTTGGAATTCCTGATTTAAACATGCAATTCAGGAAGCACAAACAAAAGACAGTCTAAAAACAATTTTGATTTCAAATTTTTATTAACACAAAGTTTTTTTTCAAAGATAAAAGAAAAGATTATACAGATGAGTGCTATTCCCCTCTCTCCCCCTTCCCTTAGGGCTGAAAGCCTGTATCAGTGCAGAAGGGCTCACTCGGGTCACAGGTCACTCAAGGGCAGGAGACCCCTCACCTCCCAAGGAGATGGCCTCCCATGTCAACGACCACAAAAACATCAAAACAGCCTTCATGTTTGTACAGCCATTTGCACACAGCTACATATCGCAGCCCTTCAGAGACAGACAGTATGCCTTGGGAGCTACATATACTTGACCTCACTTCTGTCAGAAATATCACGTGTATCACTTCAGTGAAAAGTGATTGAAAAGATGGAGAGCTAGTTTAGCTGAAAAGAGGGAGAGCTAGTTTAGCTGAACGTAAAGAAAGGGAAAAAACTGGTTCCGTCTCAAGATTCCTTCACATATGCAGTGAAGTAACAGAGTAAAATGTATGTAATTCTTTAGCTTTTAAGCATGTTTTGAGTACTTTTTAAGTCTGGTTGTATAATAACATAAGATTCGAAATTTTATGATATTTGATAATGTTTTACAATGAAGTCAAATTTTTTTTTTATAATCTGCTTGCATCTCTCAGACTTTTTTCTGTTTTGAGAAGTTTTTGCATTTGCATTCATTGTATGCTTATCATTAATATGTTTGTTGACTTTGAACACTCCCTTGATGCTTTCATTTGACTTGTGACTCAGATTTAATCTGATATAGGTGTTTATAAAGAGTACTTCAACATTTTGGCATCTGTCTTGTCGCTAAAGCTCAAGACTGAGGAAGCATCACTGAGAGGAGAAAATCGGCCCGACAGCAGGAGGAGAAAGAATCGGCAGAAGATGGACGAGGCTCTTCAGTGGAAACTTAAGCAGAGACCCCAGAGAGTCATATGAAGGCACAAAAAGCTCAAAGCAAGGGCCAATTAAACGATAACTGCCAGTTAATGACAAACAGAAGGTGGAGAAGTGCTCGGGAAGGAGATTAGAGACAGCCTAGTTTCGGCCAAAACTAAAAAGATCATGATCATATCATAAAGCGTGATGGAAATACAGTATTAGATTACATGAAATGTGATATTTTTAATAAAAAGAATAGCAAATGAATTGCATTCTATATGATGGGAGGAGATATTTAAATCAAGAAATTTGAGCTCAGAAGAGTGTATACAGAAATATCTAATAATACTTAAATACTACATAAATATAAATAACAATATAAATGATAATATAATGACAATAAATGCAAATAAGTATAATAATGATAATAATAAATATAAAAATGTATATGCTATTTAAATATTATTATTAATAAATCTCCCTGCCCTCCTTCTTTCTTTCTCTCTCTCATTATTATTATTATTAAAATAATATTATTAATAAAGTCTTCCTATAATATGCATTAGTTGCTGTTCATTTGTTTTAATTTGAATTCAAATTTGTTTATTTTTACAGTTTTTGTTGATCGCTTTGGTACTAATTTCACAAGTATGTGGTAAAACCTCACAACTGTTAGTACAAAACTCAAAGCAGATCATCAAAAAAGCTATTTTTTCAAACATGTAATCACATGTTCAATTGACTAAGTACAAGACACAAAATTACACATTAACTTTTTCACCACACCTAATCAGTGTGTCATCAAAGAAATACCTTTCATATGAAGTACTTGTCTTTCACAATGCAATGCTCACAATTCTTTTGATATCCTTCTCTTCTGATTTGAGTAAATACATTTGACCAACACTTAATCCAACTGCTCTTAATGGTTAATCACTGAACCGTTTGGTAAACCTATACATTTTAAATTGGTTTGTTAGCTATGCAGTATATGGATTTCGAGAACTACACAAATAAAATGTGTGTTTGTACAAACATCTAAATTACATGTAACCACACATGATGAATACTCATTATTGCTAATTGATTTCACATAGTGGTAATCACAATTGGTCACTATATATAAAAGTGGGGGTGTAAACACTGGACATTTCTTTCAACATGGAGCAGGATAGACAGCAAGGAATAGGAAGAGCTCGTGGACAAGGAATCCGTCAGAAAGGTGGGCATGGGCACCAACAGAGAAGTCAGAGAGGTGGGCATGGGCACCAACAGAGAGGTCAGAGAGGAGGGCATGGGCACCAACAGAGAGGTCAGAGAGGTGGGCATGGGGCCCGTCAAAGGGTTGGTCATCAGAGAGAGGAGGCAGAACTGTTGTCTCTAATGAAGTCCGGGCCATCATCGTTGATCATGTGGTGAACCGAGGCCTTACTATGGCAGAGGCTGCCAGATTAGTTGATCCAAATCTAAAAAGATCAACTGTAAATTCTATCATCCGAGCTTTTCGCCAAGAAAACCGGTAAGTGTGGAGGATATATACTATGCTTTACCATTACATTTACAATAAATTGTAATGCATGTAAATTCATCAAACATGTTAC